TACGTAACATGGTGTGTCACGCGCGCAGGAGGGATCGAGTTGAAAATCGCGTGATTGAGTAATATTTCATCGACTATTATTTCATTATTAACCTTCTGGAGGCATCGTCTTGTTATTGAAAAAACATTTTTTTTTAATTTATTGTACTTGAAAATATCTCGTATGGCCTCTGTTCTGGCAGATTTTATACGCATGATATAATAAAAAGCTGCGCATAATATTTATAATGATATCGACCACTGTCGTTAAACATTACAAAATTTAAATGAAGAATCTATCGATATATAATATATCGACGTATGACCTTCCTGGCAAATAGAAGAACTATTATATATTTAAGTGTTTAATATTACATACATTTTTGCGCGTCCTCAGTTATTAAATGTACTAATCTCAAATTTACGGTCCCAAATCTATCCTGAATTAAATGTTAAAGTGAACATTGCAAATATGTATACTTAGTCCTAGAAGCGTCCGACCGTTTATCCGTCTGCAAGATTTTCCAGAAACGACTTTTACAAATTGTTTAATAATAGATCTCAAGCTTTAGCTCCACCAAGACAAAATGTAAGTCAAATCAGTAAGAACTAATTGTTCAAAAATTAGTTTTAATGAAATTCTTCCAATAGTTTGTAGTTGCATTATTTACAGTTAATTACATCCGTTGCAAAGGATTAATTTTATGTTATATCTGTCTCTCTCTCTGCAATTCGAATTTGCGAATATCTCATCGTACACTTCGAGATGCTGTCGTATTTTCTGATTCACAATGTTCTCACGCAGAAATTCGAGAATAACCACGGCGGAAGAGCAGCTTTCGCAGGAAACCGACGACAACGATTACTCAGATTTCTCGACGAAAGGAGTGTCCTCGTGTTTCGCTTTGATGATGCAGCCACTTTTTACCGTATCCCTTCCGATTCTCCCCAGAAGAGCGAACTACCCGTTCGCGCAGGGTTGAGAGAGGTGAAGAAAGAAGAAGAGAGTGTAACCCCCGAAGGCATGCTTAACCCCTGCGGGTCATAGAGAGAACGGCGTTTTACCGACTATTAACTCGCCTTTACCCCTGTTTCTTACCCTCGCGGTCTGACTAAGGGATGCCAAAGGGAAGGGAACGGAGGATCCGTCAGGCGTCGACGAGATAGAAACGAAATTGGAAAAAGGTCCTACTCGAGGGTCCACGTGTAATCTCCCGTTTTTTTCTTTTCGCGCTATTTTCACCCTCTCCCCCTTTGCGATATTTCTCTTTCCACTTTTCCGGGCTTTCCGAGATGGACGCGTGCAGGTAGCGGGCCAGATACCTGCGCGACTCCTCGACGAGGGGCAAGAAAAGAAAAGAAAAAAAAAACGCTAGATCTCTCCGGGGGTCACGCTCGATTTAATCCCTGAGAAAAATCGCGCGATCCCCCTCGCGCAGCAGAGTCGCAGTTGATTTCGGGGGTTAACCGATTTCCCTGCGAAATTTGAAATCCAAGAGCGCGTTTTTTACTACCGTTTTCCGATTTGACCTGAGCGATAGACCCGTTTAAAGGCTTAAGTATCTCGTAAAAATGGGCTCGAGAATACAAGGCGAGGTCTTGCCCCCCCCTTCTCTATTTCTTTTTTTTTCATGCAACTTCCGAGGTTAGAGGGTCGGATGTCAGTCGCCGTCTCTAATTTGAACATCGAGCAAATATATCCGAATAATCTCTTTTGTTCAGTTTATATTGTTCAATTTTCAGATGAAGATTTAGACAGATATGTATTCAACTAATTACATTATGCAAATTTTTGAAATCAGAAGCTTTGATTCTGAAATTAAAAGAGCGGGACTTGTTGCATAAAAGTGACACTAAATCTCAAAATTATGCAAATAACTAAAATCGTCAGTTTTACGAATTTTTTAAAAAGTACTTTTTTTAATAATTGTGTGATTCTTTTCTTTTCATCCCTTTCTTTCTGCTTTTATTTTATGAACCTTAATGCTTAAATCTTCTCACGAGTAATTGATTTATTTTCATTCCTGCATCGCAGCTCATTGTGTTTCGCACGGTGTTTTATAAACGAGGAATCTTGGAAAGATGACTCGCCGCAACACGTTTTTTTGCTGTGATTGTGTATCGATGGAGCATGACTCGCCGCTGTGTGAGACGATTTGGAGCAAAGACGAAAGGGAGAACGTCTCCGGAGGAAGCGAAACATAGAATCCCCGCGGCGCGGTACCTTCTCCAGACTGGGCCTTAAAAATCGAGTCAATTTAAGGACTCGGCCGCGAGCAAGATACAGAGAAACGCGTATATGCATGCGATTCTTCAAGAATCTCCCTCGCAAGGATGAGAATTCATTTAAGACCAGAACGAGCGTCGGATCTTTTTGCGCTATTTATAACGGCCCTCCTGTGTTATATGTTTTTATTAATTATATTCCCGTATTAATCATAAGAACAAAATTCTACGTTTAACCACTATATTTAATATGAAACCGAAATTGATAATCTGAAAACTTAAAATGTTGCCAATATAACAATAAATTAGACCGCATGTAAATACACTACTCAACTAATTTATTAATTTTAGTATTTTAAACAATATTTCGTGTGAATTTATATACATGTATCTTTATATACATATTCTGTGAAGAGCGTGAAATCATTTTCGATCTTGAATCTTTAACTAAAACTGGGATAGTAATATCACAAATTAAATTAACAATTAATTTAATGATATTGATGCTGGTAAACATCTTGCCAATATATATTTGCACAAATATTTTCCTACAATAGTTGTTTTGTTTTTTCACGGAAATCTGTATTATGTGAGGGTTAGTCATTTTTCATTGATTGATAAAATTCAATGGTAAGCGAACCATCGATACAAAGCACTTCGTCCGTTTAACGAAAAAAGTTGGGAAGCGTGTAAAAGAATGAAAGAAAGATTTAACCGCGAGAAACGAGGAAGCATAAATTGAAAAAAAAAAGATTCAAGGGGTAATTTCAGTAGACGTCATCGATCTAACCTTCGGGAAAGGCGTTCCAGGGGGGTCCCAGAGTTTCATTTTCAATGAAAGGATCTTTAAGCCCTTTCTCGAATCTAAGTCTACTCTATCATGCTCGTCTCTCGTTTTCCTTATTCCTCATCTATTCTTAGGGTTTACTTGCGCGAATAAAACGCATCCTATCTACCTGGTGTCCGCAGATTATATCCGCAGGGTAAAAATCCTGAAAACAAACTTTACCTGTATGCCATGGAATTATCGAGTCGTTTGCGATTAGAATTTTATTTTTTTTATAATTTATATATTTTTTAAAATTAAAAATTGTGGAACATTTTTTAGAGGCTCTTATATTTTTTATAATATTTTATTTTTGAGCAAAGTGAACTATTAGATTATAATCATTACGTTGAAAGAAATTTTAACAAACTTATTAAAAACTTATTAAAAAAATATGACCTTATATATATATATATATTTACAGTAAAATTTATTTTATTAAAAACTAAAAAGATTAATTGATAAATGGAAATTATTCGATAGGATATCGAGTATTACTACGAACTTTTTTTTATGCTCTTCCCCACATATATAAAATAGTTGAGAGCAGATGTACCTGCAAGCAGTCGATTACGTGGCTTTTAGAATTGAGACGTCTCAATTTCACGACTTCGAACCCAAGAAAAAACTTCCCTCGCGGTCTCTCCCTTTTACTGCTTTGGACCAACCGCACATTCCCGTGGATTCACCGCCTCTTCCCAACTTGTTATATCTTTGGACCAATCCAAAAGCCTATCACCCCTCTGTAAAGTTTTTCTGAAATTACGAAAGAAAGTAATCGCGCGAGGAATCAGTCTCGCCAGAATACTGGCGAAGATCAGAACTCTAAAATACTTGGAATTTTTTAAATAGGTATGTAAATAGGATTTAAATTATTCAAAACAGTGGCGGAGCAATATTATTTTATACCATTTATTCCGTTTTCTTTTGTTAATTGAAATAATTTAATACAAAGGAAACAAAAATATATTAAGCCAAGCTTTAAGATTCTAAGATTTATCAAACGATTCATGTACGTTTTATTTCGTGACAATCTAATAATGAAACTATCTTTTTAACTGTTGACTTTTATGCTATTTCCAAATAATTTATGTTGTATATTATTTTGTATTTTTATTAGCATACTAAAAACGATCTTATTACAAGTCGATACATTTGCGATTGTTATACATTTAAATTATAATATAATTGTAAGCAATCAGCTTGACTCATTTTTATTTCCTTTGTTTTAATCTATTCAGCCTTGAAATTATTTTTTATTGAAATAATACACGCGGAACAACAACCTCTCTAACAATAATAAAAAATGTTAATCGATTTAATAATCATGAATTGGTCCGAATGAGTCATTTCCGGCCGATAGCTTACAATTTTATAACGCTTCTTATCGAGACTTGCGCATTTCTACAACGCAAAGTTTTCGTGTTCATTTAATTTAAGAGACTTATACGAGTCTCCTTTTATCGTGCAGATACGCATGAATTTCACTTATCATTGTGAGTTGTTATTCAATAAATAACAGTCCGTGAGTTTCTATCGTTTTTACTCGATTCGCTTTGCAGTCGGCTTGGAAAACGCATCTATTAAAGTTGGCCCCGATAAGAAGCCAAAGTTAACTATTTTATGGAACTATTTTATCGCTCGAGATATTCCGCTGCTCTCGTTGAACCTCACGAAGAATCGTAAATACATCAATAACGTTAATGTGTCAACATTCAGATGGCTCTTTTTCCTACTTCTCAGTTAGCTCCAATAATACCTGTTACACACGCACCTTGGATTTCTCGAGAAAGAAGTCATATATCGTTATTGGAAGAACTGCTTCGTCATCGATTACGAAACCATTGAATCCACGCACTGACTCTACGTTTCTGCAATTTCTTTTAAATTTATCATTTATTTCAAATATTAAAAATATCTTCTGTCTTTTAATAGACGACGTTAAAAAATTTCTTTTCTTTTTCTCGTAGGAAAAATGAAGGTAAAAGAGGAGAAGGACGCCTCGTCGATGGCGCCAGGAAGTCCACCTACGCCTCCGCATACCCCGCAAAGTCCGCAACGTGCGATCCCGTCTCTTAGCAATCTATCGCAATCCTGTCAAACATCAAACGCAAACTCGCCGAATCTGCAGCAACAGCAGCAGCAACAACAACAGCAACAGCAATCGCAGCAGCACCAATCGCAGGAGCAACAGCAGCAGCAGCAGCAACAACATCCCGTACATGCCATGACTAATTCACCGTTGAGTCAAATACTGGTGCAGAATCCGGCATTGGCGCAATTGCTGCAACAAAACCCAGCGATCTTGTCGCAGAATCCTCAATTGGCGCAGCTGCTGCAGCAGAATTTGCAGGCTCAGATGGGCAGCGTGCTCTTTCAAAATGTCAGGCGGGAAGAGTCCGAGGATTCCAGGGTAAGTTCTCCCTTCGAGAAATCTACAGAAGAAAAGTCTTGTATTAATTGGAATTCTGTTAAATTCAATCAGAAAGGTACAAATCATATTTATAGTTAATCTATCGAACATCTTAGTCGAAATAACTAGAAATTCAATTACGATATCAGAATTCTGATCATATGATCAGAATTCATTTTGTTTGTATTTTTAATTATTGATACAACAAAGAATATTTTTTCAGTGTAATAATTATTTTACTCTGGTTTTATCCCAGAGTTCATTACACTTCAGCCAATATGGCAGATTAGAATCTCGACCGCTTGCGAAGAATGTCATTTAAAATCTGAAACAGCAACTTTCACAATCGTACCGATTCTAAAGATCATTATTACGAGGAATTCGACAAAGGCGCAAATGTCGGCAATTATCGAGCGTATTAAAGATTTCAAGTAGCGTTGAATCGCCGCTAGGTATTTCGTCAAAAGCCAGACAACCGCGGGCTATATCCAAAAACAATACGAGATGACTCATCCGACTCGCTGTCGGATCATAAAGTTACCAACGGGAGCTGTGTGAGTTAAGTGTGCTAGAATAATTCAGCGCTTCCTAGAATCGTAAGCGACGAACAATCGGTTATGATACGTCGTAATAAAAGTCGATAGAGACTTTGCCGCCTGGTGATCATTCGCTTGAATATCTTTGAGTTTTCTGTTTTTCATCGAATTATTTATTTCCACGACTCGCTCTTTCTTGAAAAATTCTTCATAGATAAAAGAACAAAATATTTTACAATAAAATCATAATATACTATTTCTATATACACGTTTTGCATTCGATGAATTTGGAGATATTTTATCAAATTCGTTTTATATATATTCAAGCATATCATAAAGTATATAAAAATATTTTTATTTTAGAAATATATGTTATTTATTATCACAAATTAAGACAAACAAATTTTGACGATAGAAAATTTAATATTATTGTATTATCATTACATTACGATTAATACGATTTCGCAGTACAAATATCTACATGGGCTAGGATACCAAAGAGGAGACACTAAACCGTACGGACGATCCAGCTATGGGATCGCTGCCGTGGAATCCCATACAGGGAGAATTGAAATTATTCCCCCGATTTTTGTCGTGTCGTTTACATTATTTTCGCCTTTGAATATTAATGGGCATATGCTCTCCGGCGTTATGGCACAAGAAGTAACAACGGCGTATAATACTCGAGTCTTAACGTTATTCTATTGTTTGCAAATCAGCTCTATTGTTTTCTCATATACCTCTATACTCTCTCGCACACCCCTCTCTTTGCCTCTCTCCTTGCTTCTACTCTTCCTCGTCCTCCTCCTCCTTCTCCTCCTCCACCTTTTCCTTCATCGGCGATGTCCCCCTCTCTTCTTTCCTCTTTTATCGTCATCTTTCTTTCTCTTATCGTTACCCATACTCTCTTCTCTCCTCTTTATTTCTCCTCTGCGATTCTCTTCTTCTTTCTCTCGTCGCCACTCTTCTCGCTCCACCTCTGTCCCATTCCGATCTTTTTCTCTTTCTTCGCCCTCTACCTTTCCCCCTCTGAGCTCTGATGCACACGTCCGCATTATATACATCGTGATGCACATTATTTTCCATTTGTTTCCTCGCGTCCGCGTTTTCTCCATGCGAATTTTTTCGTCCACGATAAGTGAATTAATTTAGAATGTATATCGCGATTATAAACGTATCCCTTTTTTTTTTATTCTGCTTTCTCTCTCCAGAATCACGACGGGACATGTAAAAAGATTTTCCCAACCGTCCTCTCGATCGTTCGACGTTATTATGCGCGATACGCAGCAATCCGTAATATTAGGTACAGAAGGTCGTCGATAATTATGAACGAGGAATATAAATGTTCGATTAGAGATTGCAGAATTGATGGAACGCAATGGTCACGTACGTGAGGCGAGTTCTATTAGATTCGACGGAATTAATCGATTGTTCCGGCGCGCGCTCGATCGGGCGCACGAGGTTGCTTCTTGTTAGGAGTGAAGTTCACAGATCGGTACGAAGAATCTCATCGAATGATAATGCAATGACGCGACGTAGCGTAATAGAATACATTTATATGTAGTATTTATAAATAAAAAGTAATTTGAATCTTTCGATAAATTTACTTACTGAGATAAAATTTCTTCAAGTTTCAATAACAAGTTTCTTTGTTTGCTCTATTTAATTCGAAGAATAAATAGAATCGTGAATAATTTTCAAGACGAACAGAAAATTCAACGTTAATGAAAGAGGAGAGAGAATGACAGGAGTAGATGGACGACGATGTAGTAACCGGTTCATAAATTCATGACATAGTTGGATCAGATCTCAGCTAAGGCTTCAGAAATCGTACAGCATTCGCGAATAATTTGAACCACGATGGGGCTTCCGACAAGTGTCGTTTCTTCCTTCGATGTCTTCCCCGAGTAGTATCTGTCCTTTTTTAAGTCTTTTGATTTTAAACAATAATAAGTGGAAAATCAACATATAAATAACAAAATAATCAAAACAATAAGTGGAAATCGACCGATATAAATAATATAAAATAAGCGAAGAAGTGGAAATCTTTTATCAAAGCGGATTTTGGTACCCAATACTTACACGCAAAAATATTATTAGGCACCAAGATTAAAAAGATTGTGTAGGCTAAGAAGTATTTTCAAGTTTAGATAAAAGTAATATATTGAGAGTAGTTACCCAGTAATTGTAAGATACGGATGAATAGTGTGTGGTTAAATAAAACCATAAATCTAGTTCCTTTTTGGCATGTAAGCTGAAATAATAAATTATTGGCGTTATTAATATTGCAATAATAAAATTTCGTCTAGATACGAAGATCCGCTTTGCCCGAATGAGGCTTTCATTTCCTCTCTTGATTTTAATTTTGGTAGCTGCTTAACGTTCGAAACGTAGAATCGTTTCATAAATGGAAGAATCGAATATACAGCACGTCGATATAAAAGTTAGTTACTCAAAATTGAAATGCCGTGTGGCAGATATGCCCCGGGGTAATTTCATTACTTGGTAGCAGTAGGGTTAACGAAGGATATTAAGCGGCCATTACGAACAAGCCTAAGGCCATAACGCGATTAGTTCGCGGAATAGCCGGTCTTTTGTACGATAGATTTTACGGAAACATCTCGTGTCTGCCGCGTGGGCGGCGGGTCCCCCTTTCGTTTCGTCCCCTTCTCTCGCGTACGGCCCTGGGCACGCCGGTGCATTGTACATCGTAATGTATTTCTTTTAGGTACCGCCGACAATAGCGAGCCTGGCGGCGATGAAGGTGGAGGCAGCTGACCCGAAGGTTTCCGGTGAGTTACTATTTCCTCCTGCTGACGGAATTATCGGGATCGTAATTAGATTCGAATCGAGACTGCCGCGTTCGATGACCCTGTTCGCGCGAACAAAAGGAAGGTGAAAAAAAAAAGAACGAAGCGGAAAAAGACTCGACAGTGACGGATGCGAAATCATCGAACGTACGCCGCCGCGATCTGGTTAGACCAGGTGATTCGTAATCGACAATTTGTAATGACAACTTTAATCGTTGAGCGAATCTATGATTAGAACGGAGACAATGTTGCCGATCGAATGTTGCACACACGACGACGATGCCTGACCTTTAACGGAGTCGGGATAGAAATAATCGGTATGCGTTCGCGTTCGCCAGAAGTTTAGCCGCACGTGTTCCAGCTGCGGAAGCAATCGGTTGTGTGCGGCGGATTGAACATTCGTCTGCAAAATTGCAATTTCTATTCAAAAGCCTTGAAAGTTTTATCAGAGGCGATTTCGCTTCTTCTCGTATGCTCTCAATGCGCAGAAATTTGCTGCGAAATGTTTCCTCTTTCGGGAGAATTCATTTCTGTTTCTCCTTTAAAGCGGATTTCCCAACGGGAATTAATAATCGGTCGCTACGCGTGGAGAACGAGCCTAGAGAAATCGCGCATCCAGCGTGCGCCGAGTTGCATGCCACGTGACAAATCTGAAGCTATACGTAAGCCGGCTCTGGAGTGCCGTCGGCTCTCCCTGCGGCCTTTATTTGTCTCGATCCTCGCGAACCCGTGAATCGTGGCGCAACCTAACGAATCGCGGCCGTCCGTCGCTTTCAGTGTTTTGTACCCAGGGGCTGTTCCCCCTTTATTGGAATATCCGCCCACAGCATTATGGGAATTATCAAGGAAATGGGATGAGTGCCAACGCGGCTCCCACGAGGGGTCCGAGGGGGGGGAGGGGGGCGGGGGCTTACTTCGACCGCCAGTAATAAAAGAAACGCAGGATTTATCAATCCCTCGCTATTCTTTCCCATGTTCTTTGAAGACTATCTCGGCAAATTTTGAATACTTTGAAATATGTAGATGTGCGATATGCATCTAATTAAGTAAAAGAAGTCGAAGCTTCATAGTGGACTTTGATTTCACCTTTGGAGAAGGAGGGTCTATTTTTAAAATCTTATAGAACTTTTTCCTGAGTAGGATTTATTATAATTTATTATTTCTCTCTTTGTATTCTTTGTCTTAAAATATGAGAGTATTTCAGCGCCACTCTACAGATGGCTTTCCCGTCCTGTAAAGGTTAATTACTGCAAAAACATCCCGCGATACAGAATGTTTTTAAATTGATCATTATTATGATGAAATCGGGAATTCATGGTTGCGTAGAAATATCGCTCGTTGCATGCAATAAAAGAGATGGAGTATTCTGTATTATATAAAGATCCCGATATTTCTCCGAGACGCTATTAAGATCAATCGTTGCTTCTGACTGTTATTTCACTTTGCCGCCATGCGAGCCATCATTTTTCTCAAAAACATTTGCAAACAACTCGTAATCTGTGGTTTGTCACACAATTCCCGTCCCGTTGAAACCGCGAAAAGATTCTGCGACGGAAATCACGGCATTCACGACGAAGAGGGGCACACGTAGAGAGAACATCAAGTAGAGAAAGAGAGAGTGGGCGGCCTCCGTTGGATTTTCTCGTCCAGTGACATATTCCTACAATTTCGGATCGGCCAATCCAACGTCGGCCGGACGATATTAAACGCGTGGTGGGATCTGCTGCGAAATGGAATAAAATAAAATGTGTACGTTGTTCGCGCGCGGACTAAGCAGACGGACGCGGAGGCAAGGGTTATCGGTGAGAGAAAGAGAACGCGGACACGTGAGAGAAAGATGGAGATGTGAATGTATGCGTACGTGGAAAGGGAAAGA